ATGAATCCACAAGGGTTAAGCTGACACTACATATAATAAACATACAAAATTTATTAAGGTGTACACATTTTAAAAAGCTTAAAACTCATTTAAAATATTCACAATCAGACCTAAAAAACTTCTCAACATTCATACATAGATGGGTTAGTGCTGTGCAACTGAACCAAACGCGTTTCGGCCCCAAAGGGCCTTCCTCAGTGGTCACAATCCAAAATACAAAGTTGACATACAGTCCAAAAAATATTTACATAAGATGTTAAATATATATGCAGTATAAGGCCAGATGTTATGTCCTAGATAATAATTACCAAAAGAAAATAAGGGAAAAGGGGAAACAAGGAAAATGTCATTATAATTTCTCATGTATTTGTTTTTCTACTAATTGAAAACTAATATATATGAGGAATAAAAATTACCTTATATATTTATATGTATATTGTTGTTCTATAGGATAGGCCTCAGGTATGGCCAATTAAAGTCCACTAATAATTCCAAATCTAAAAGGGAATGAAATAATTACATGAAATTGTATACTTCCAAAAGGAAATTCTTTTTTTATTTTTTGAAAATCTGAATTGGCCTACTGACCTGGTAGCATAAACTTGCGTGAGTTGACTGTATGTCACTCCATCCTGTACAAATTCTGGTGTGGGCTATTGTACTGGCCACCATATATAGCATTGCTGAGGTGATGTTTATTATATGTAGTATCAGCTTAACCCTTGTGGATGCATAGAAAACCAACATGTCAGGGATAAGACTAAGCTGGAGCTCTTCTCCCTGACATTGTGTTCTCTATGAGCAGAAGGATTTGTTTTATTTATTTATACCTCACTTTTATTTATACCTCACTTGCGCACGGTGCATTCGGTGTTGCGGCATGGAATGGAGTGGCGGGGGTTGCGGCATCCTGGTTGTGGTAGTTGCAGTATGTCTTCAGTGTCGGATGTGTTGGAGGTTGGTGAAATGGCGGCCTGGTGCACGGTTGTCTTCCAGTGGCTTCCACTGGCGGTCAGTCTTACAGTGGCTGCCCTCCCTGGACTTCTCAAATGCTGCTGCTGCTTGGAGTGCCTTTTGGATGTTTGCATCCCCTTGGCTGGCAAGCTTGTGGCAGAGCTTCTCGTCCCTGAGACCAAACACGGAACAGTCTAAGAGTGCTTCCTCAAGTGTGGCGAACTCACAATGGAGGGCCAGTTTGCACAGGGCAGCCATGTAAGCCGAAGCTGGTTTGCTGGGCCTTTGGTTCCTCTCGAAGAATTCCACGTGGCGAGTCATGCAGGTGGGCTTGGGTGCGAAGTGGTCTGTGAGAACCTTGATGAGACCGTTGAAGGTGGCAAGCTTTAGCGTGGTTGGTGCGCTGACGCTCTGGGCCAGCTCCAGGGTATCGATTCTGCAGGAGCTGAGCAGGAGAGCCTTCTTTTTCGTGGCATCATCAATGCCTTGGAATTCCACGAAATAGGTTAGGCGTTCCACCCAGGATTCCCACTTTTCTGGGTGAGTAGAGTCGAATTCTGGCAGGATTCCTGGAGCGGCAGCCATTGTCTTCAGAGCGGTGCGATGCTCGGTGCACAGGGGCTCGGTGTGCACTGCTGTGCTGGTTGAAGCCGGCTTGCTCATCAGGATTCCATCCTCATCACCAGTGAAATATACTGGGTTCAGACGCATTCAAGTGATCAGCTCATAGTTTAATAGTGATTCAGCAAGAGAAAGAAGACTGAGAAACCCCTGGCCGAAGCCGGGTATTTATCCCTGAAAAAGGTCACACCCAAAACACACCCCACTTCCAACAATAGGTTATTTACACTACATTGTTTCCCAATTGTGTTACTCTAGGATCCCTGTCACCCTACTGGTCCATTCTAGGATCCTAGCAAGCTATTGTTATGCATCCCCAAGCTCTTTTGCAAATACAGTTCAGGCTCAATACATAGGAAACAATATTTCTATATTTTCAGAAGCACTTCTAGAGTCTCCCTTCAGTGGTATGTGGACCAGAGAAATCCCTCCCTCTTTTTCTTCCTGCCAACGCAAAATGGTTCTAACAGCCATTTGCTCTCCTGTGCCATGCTGGATCAAAGGGCAATGGAAACCCCCCCCCACACACACAGGCATCTTTGCCATCCTTCTTTTCCACAGCTCAGCTCACCATCTTGATATCGAGGCAGTTAATCATCTCGCTGGCATTCCCATGGTGCCAGAATTTCTGCGAGGAAATTAACTGGTTGCTGTGAATTATGCAAAAGGATCTCTCTGCTCCCAACATAGTTGCCATTATTATTTTTTCCAGCTCCACCTCGGAAGATGGTTGTCCATCTGCTTGTTCCTCTGCCAACTCCTTTTGCCATCCTAGAGATGGAACTTTCAATCCGACAATTATCCTTTGTGGTATAATTGTTGCCACTTGGAAGAAGAGGCACTTCGCCCAATGCCCTCCAAGCAGGAGGGAAAGTCATTTTCTAAAACAATGCTTATTGTTCGTAGGGTTTTTTTTTTAAAAAAAATAAGTACACTTGTGTTAAACAATTAGAATCTGTGGCTCAATTAATAATCGGGCACCTTTTTAGATAGACCAAAATAAATGGGACTGATTAAACACTGCTGCTTAGATTAGTTTTTCTATCTGTATAATGATATGAGTTTTTAAAAATCTCACCCTTCCTCCAAGGAGCTCAAGAGTGTATGCATGGACCTCCCTGCCTCTGTTTTATTCTTGTGACAACCCTGTGCAGTTGGTTAAACTGGAAGAGAGGGGCTGTTTAGGTTACTGACCTCTGGAGACCTTCTAAACTTACCACTGCTCTCTGGATTACAGAAGTCATTTCCCCTGGAGAAAATGACTGCATCGGAGGGTGGACTCTATGGCGTTATACCCCACTGAGGTTCCTCCTCTCCACAAACCATGCCGTCCCCAAGCTCCACCCCCAAATCTCTGGAAATTTCTGAACCTGGAGTTGGCAACCATGTGTCGCCCTGCTCTTGGTTAACTGATCTACCTGGATCTGTGAGCAGTGTTCCCTCTATTCACGCCCCCCCCCCACTGAGCAGAGCAGTTCACACCCTGAGCAGAATATATTTGCTGTAATTTTTAAAAAAAAATTGAATTTTTTTTGTGTTTGTGTGCCCCTGCCTGGAAATCATGCCGACCTCTGGCAACTCCTACTGGGGCATGGAGGATGTTCAGAGAAGTGGCTTGATAGCTTGCCTCTGCCTCCCAGCCCTGGTATTCTCTGGAGATCTCCCATCCAAATACCTGCTAGGGTCGGTCCTGCTTAGCTTCCAAGATCTGATGAGATTGGGCTTGCCTGGGCTATCCAGGTCAGGGTACTGCTGTAATCTTCAAATGGGCCATGGGCAGTGCCAGACCCTGCGTGGCTTCAGATTGCTGCTGAGTGGGCTTTCTGTGCTCATGAGTGGCTGCTCATGTGCACAGCTTGGGAATGCTGCTCAAGAGTACTCACATGCCATTGGCTGGGGGCTGGGTCCGCTCCTCTCCTCCGCCCACTGCCGGATTGGCCATTCCCTGTCTGAATAAACTGCCAAAACTGCTGTGTGGTTCACTTTCCCCATAGTGGCTGTTGCTAGGCAACCAAGCTTGGTTCTCTCAGTAAAAAGGCAGGGGCAGAAGGCCCTTTCCAAGCCTCCTTTGGCCTTTGTGGGGAACTCGTTGGAGCCAGTCCTGACTAGGTTTGCCAGTTCCAGGTTGGGAAATTCCTGGAGATTTTGTGGTGGAGTCTACAGAAGCCAGAGTTTGGGGAGGGGCAAGGCCTCAGCTGAATAGAATGCCATAGAGTCCACCCTCCTGAAAATCAACCCATTCCTGACAATCTCCAAGAAAAATGGATGCCCCTCTTAGAAGCGTCAGCAGCACATAAAATTGACACCTCCCTGTTTGCTCTACATAAACATCAGGACCTACTTTCTTATTTTTAACTTTTTAAAAATTTAATTAAAAAAATAGAGTCCACCCTCCAAAGCAGTTACTTTCTGCAGGGGGAGAGAGATCTGTTATCTGGAGTTCATTTGTGACACCAGGCAATGCCACAGCCAGTGTGGCGTAGAAGTTAGCACTTCAGAGCAGGGCCTGCCAGACCCAGGTTCTTGCTGTGGAAGCTGAGTGAGTGATTTCAGACCAGTCACAAACTTTCAGCCTAACCTACCTGACAGGGTTGTTGTGCATATCAAAGGGGGAGAGGAGAATGATGTGAGTTGCTTTGG